CTGCCACCAGCAGCGCCTCGCGCTGCTGGTGTTTTCTCATGGGCGGCGCCGCCCCAGAAAGAAGAGAAGAAAAAAAAAAAAAATTTTTTTTTTTTTAGGGTTTTGGTGGAGGCGGGGGCCTCTGTTGCAATTAATGTAATTTGGGGCCCCTGGTTGCAATTACACAAAAGGGGTCAATTTGCAAATTTTAAATCAGGGACCTATTCTGTAAATTTCGATTTTAGAAGGGTCTGCTGTTAATTTCATTTTGGGTAACTTTTGTAAAATTTCAAAAAGGGTTTTGATTTTGAATTTTGAATTATTTTATAATGAGTTTTAAATTGGGTTTGACCCATACCCTAATTTTGACCCAAAATTAAAAAAAATAAATTTTATTTAAAATTTGACGACTTTTATATTTTTGTTAAAATTAGATTTTAACTTAAATATTTAATTTGACCCTTAATTGAATTTTTATTATATTTTGGAATTTTGTCCTAAATTAAAATATTAATTCAATTTTATTAGAGTTGGATTCTAATATTAAATTAATTAAATTTTGTTTTGAATTAGCACCACTTCCCTATGCAAATTAGCACTTAGAGTATGACTCTAATTTAATAATTAATTAAAATTCGATTTTGATTAAATTACCTCGCCCAATAGTTATGGATTTAGAGTTGGACTCTAATTCGATATTTAGTTAAAATTAGATTTTAATTAAATTGGACCGTCAATTAAATTAATTAATTAATATGATTAATTAATTGTTTAATTATCTCGATCCCAAAATTTTGATTTAATTTTGACGACTATAATTGCTAGATTCATGAGACATTACATATAATATTAGATATTATACATATGAAACATTTATGTGATGAATGTTTATGGATGATTATGGACTCGACCATATGGATGTGTTGAATGGTTGATTTACTTCTTATTGTTGTTGTGGGCCTGCGAGCTCCTTATTAAATAATTGGGACTGCGAGTCCGTTGTTATTATTATTATTGTGGGCCTGCGAGTCCCTTTTTTTTAGGCCTGCGTGCCAACTAGTATAGGATACATGTTGCAAGTTCGGCTAATTGGAGGCGCAAGAAGAGGTGGACACCATGAAGATGGTGTATTGGTATTGGTCCAATACTGTACCCCTTAGGAATTGACCAACTAGTTTTCCTTTTGGCTCGAGAAAACTAGATAGAACAAGTCAATAATCATCCATACTATATATATATATATATATTCACATAGTAGATGTATGTTTAAATATATGTATGCATATGTAGTTACTTGATGAGACCATTGCACATTAAATCCCTCGTTAAAAATTATTAAGTTAGTATTATTTGCCTTCCATCATTATAGTGAAAAACGAGAATCCTAAATCGACCTTAGCTTGTTGAGTACACTCAAGGCTGGTCTATTAGGGATATGTTTGACACTATGAAATATTTGATATTTCTGAATGATGGGTTTAACTTAACTAAAATTTATCTTTAGTTGAGTACACTCAAGGAGATAAATTTTTGAGGCATGTTAAGCTAACACATAAGATGT